TCAGCCTGGATGTCTTCCTGCCTGGCTGTGGCTGTGGTCTGGTGCTTTGCTGGGTGTCTGGGCGTGTTAGGCGTGTGCCCTCCCTTGCATGGGGTGCTCTCATTGTGGGTGTTGCTGTGGTGGACTGGCCGGTCCTTTTGTGGGGGTGGGGGCGCGCTCTTGGTCATCGTGGTGCGCTGTCTGCGGCTGTTCAGGCACTCCTGGCTGATTGTCGCTGCTGGAGTTTGGTGGCTTCTTTGGTTGGGGGGCTGGGTTTTGAGCTGGGGATCGGGTTGGGGGTCTGGATGATCTCAGGGGGGCTTGGGTTGCTGGCCCGGGTTCTGTTCGGTCCTCGGGGCTATGTGCCGGTCCGTGGCCGGGGTCCCTGGTGGTGCGGCTGCCTCCTGCTCCTGGATGAATGCACTGGAGCCTCCCTCCCCCGGTGGATCTCTGAGAATGGGGGTGCCTATTGGAGTCAGTGGGGGAGCTGGCCCCCTGGGAGGGCATTGCCACCTCAGTTGTTCCTCCCCATCCCGACGTCTTCCTCCACCCACTCCATCACACCACCACTCAAGCAGGGCCTTGGGGTTCAGGTGCACTACTGAGCTGCGGGGAGGATCCTCCATCTCCTTGGTTCATGGAGACCTGGGCCCCAATTTTATCAAACAACCTAGACACTCGTATATAACATTCTCACGACACATGCATATATAGGGTCTGGAGTGGGCACATGGTGGCATATAGGGGGTGGGATGTGTAATCATTCTCACCTCCGGGACCTGTGCCCACTCTCATATGTAGCATGTAGACATTTAGGGTTCTGGGCAAGGGTTGGGGGGGTGAACGGGCACTGCCTGCTCTCTGGGGAGGGGGTGGGTCTGTGCCAGTCGCCACCTCATCCCCCCCCATTTTAAACGCACTATATAACAACATGCATCAACATCTTATTTGAGTGGGGGGAAGGAGGAGTTGGGTCTTACAGCTTTTCTTAAACTCTCATTCTCCATCTGACATTTGGGGTCTGGGGCGGGGGTAGGCTGCCTGGTTGGGGTCTGGGCTGTGGGTGGGTATTGGGTCTTTGGGGGCGATTGGGGGTGGGGCTGGTGCTCCGGTTCTCCCTGGATTGTTTGGATCCTTTTATCAGGGTTCCTGGTTCTGATGGCCAGCCCTTTGGCTGGGGTGGCTGCCGGGTTCTGGCGGGAGGTCAGCTGTGGTTGTGTGTGTGTGGTCGTTGGTAGTGCATGGCGGCAGTCGGGGGCATGGCTTCACTTCGACGAAGTGCTGGCTGGTCGCCATGATGTGACATTCACGGTGCCGGATGCTGTGTGTGTGGGGGGGTGCATGGGTGGCATGCCGGGGCTTCACCGGGCCTGTGGTGTGGGGCTTTAGGGATGCATTGGTGTGCTGGGCCAGTCTTCCTCGGTTGCTGCTCCCTGCTGCTCTGGCCCCCGGCCTGGGGCCGGCTTGCGGTCACTGTTGGGCAGGTGGGGCGCATGGACAGCCCAACAGAGGTTCTGTCGGGCTGTCTCTGTGTGCCTGTTTGTCTCAGGTTGGGTTTTGGGTGGCCCCCCTCTCTTGGACCAGTTTTGGCCTCCCATTTGGTGGGTCGTGCTCCCCCCCGGTGGTGGGCCCCCCTGCCGCCGGTGCATTGGCAGCTCTCAGCAGCTGGGGCTGGGTGGTGGGGTGTGTGCAGGCCCGCCCTGGTGGCTGCCTGCGGGGGCCTGGGTGCCCTGGCTCTGTCGGGCCTCTGTTGGGCCTCTGTTGGGGGGTGGTATGACCTCGGGACTCGGGGCTTGGTGTCCATGGCCGGATCCACTCTGGAGGGGCAGGTTGCCGGCGAGGCCTGTTGACTCGTCGCTACGGCCTCCTGGGGGTTTCTGCATTGTGGTTGCTGGGGATCGCCCGGGGCTTCCCTTTGCTTCTCTCTCTGGGGGGTGCGGGTGTCCCTGTTGGGGGACTACCGGAGTTCCGGGCTTGGGGGCCGCTGTGTGTCTGTGGTTCCGGGCTTCCCTGTGTTACCTTCGTGTCCTACGGGGACGGGTTTATGGGTCCCCACATCCACTATTGAACATTTTTATGAGAAACCTTAAAGTGATAAGCATGCTCACACAGGTGTTTAGATTCAGGTGTTTATCAGATACACACTCAGTTGGGTTGTGGTGGCCATCAAATATATATTGTATTACCATGTAATGTATAAAATACTTTCTAATTATGTTATAACTATCATATAAGTTGTTTGTTGTTGTGGTGGTTTCTTGGTTTTATCGGTTTTTTTTTTCCCTCTTTCCGCAGGTCTAGAGGCAGACTTCAATGATGTTGATTTGTGTTCTCTTTATCCCTCTCTCTCTCTCCTCTATTCCTATCTCCTTCTTTACATTTTAACTCTTCTCTCACTTTTCTGCTTTGTTATCTTCTTTGTTTTCCGTCCCCGTGTCCATTACATCTGAAACAAACCCAAAGCATATTCTAATAAAATTTAATTTATATATCAAGTGGAGCATTAAGGCCAGCCATAATGCTCTGCTTGTGAAAGTAAATCTGTTGGGCATCACTTTGACACTCAGGCAATAATTCTAAGTGTCACAATGTCGGACAGGACAAGGGGGGGGGGGGGGGAACAAAAAAACTCTGAATCCAGACGAGGCTGCTAAGCTGTATACGTAAAACATTTTATTCTAAAAGCTTTCATTAATTATTTCAGTTCAAATCTACATCCATGCAAATGCTATTACTTAAATTTAAAAACATGAAATTAATGATGATTTTTAAGCAGTGCTCCTTGATGATAAGTGCTTTTATTTTCAGAACATGCCCCGTGGGCGATTCACGTGGTCCCTGCGGGCGACCAGGTGCCCGCAGGCACCGTGTTGGTGACCACTGGTGTAGAGGTAGGGCAGCTGACTTGGGACCAGAAAGTAGCAGGTTTGACTCCCCAGCCATTCCCACATGTCGTGGTGTCCCTGAGCAAGATACCCAATCCCCAATTGCTCCCCGGGTGCTTACATAGCTGCTCACTGCTCCACCTGGGTGTATCTCAGGTGTCATGCAGAGAACTAGTTTAATCATTGTATGAATACAATGATGACAACACATAGCACTTCGACTTAAACTGTTGAAATAAGACTCAGTTTTAATGTAAACATACTGATGTCTAAACTAGAACATTTTATTTGGTGAGGTAGAACCAAAGCAGAAAGATAAATTAAAAAAAAATCTACAGTGATGTTAATCCATCTACCGGTAATTATATTAAAACCTTTAAAATGGTTGACTGGATAAACAATAGTTGCAGTTTCTGAACAATTTATAGAATGTTTATTTTCACTCATTTAAAGCTCAAAGGTTTTACTGAAGACTTGATTAAAAAAAAAAGAGGCTATATTAAAAGTATTTAAAACTAAAAGACTGAGTCCAAACACAGATCTGATCTGAGGTTCGACCTCTCAAGGCACCGAGTTTACATGAAGCTGAACCCGTCCTGGTCTGAGGATACGTCAGGTCAGAGTGGGCACGGGTACTTGGTCCAAAGAGGCAGTTTGCCCGTTTCGTTCGCCAGTCTCCAGTACCTCTCCTTCAGGATGAAGGCTGCTGCTTTAGGTTGCCTTTGACGAGTGAAGATCCCCTTCTTGTTCCCCACCACTCGAGTGACTCCTGCGTGAACAACAAAAAAGGACTTTTATTTATAATTAGCAAAAAGAATGGTGCAAAAACAAGGGATTATACGAGCTGTTCTGTTCACCTTGTGAAGTCATGAAGTCAGCAAAGTTCCAGATGAGTTCTCCAATAACAAACTGCTTCCTTTTCTGATCAAAGATGTCATGGTAACTTTGCAGGACTAGCTTCTGGTACTCCTCAGTGAACATCATGGGTGGATCCTGCAGAGGGAAATAAAACTTGTTATGCAAAGTGATGAAAAATGAAGACAAATTTGACGTAGTCAGCGGTGAACAGACTAGGTAACAAGAAGTATGATTTGTTGCAGGAGTAAGATCCCAAACAAAGTATGGTAATTGAAATGACAAGTTCAAAAGTCCTCACATTGTGAACCCCAGGTACTGAATCTGCTCCATATTCACTCTGGATGATGGGTTTCTGGTATGTTCTGTGCCAGTTCTCAAATTGAGTGTTGAGCTGGATGGGGATGACCTCCAGGTGACCTGGATCATGGTACCAGGAGAAGTAACTGTTGACACATATCACATCCACATAGGGAGCCTGGAAACAAGACAAGCATCATTCTAGTGAAAATTTCAAATGTATTCATTATTATTTGTACTTATTGCTAAACTACTTATTTTTAGTTTGTTGCAAACATACATACAGTGCCTTGCAAAAGTATTCGGCCCCCTTGAACTTTTCAACATTTTGCCACATTTCAGGCTTCAAACATAAAAATATAAAATTTAATTTTTTTGTGAAGAATCAACAACAAGTGGGACACAATCGTGAAGTGGAATGACATTTATTGGATGCGTCAAACTTTTTTAACAAATAAAAAACTGAAAAGTGGGGCGTGCAATATTATTCGGCCCCTTTACTTTCAGTGCAGCAAACTCACTCCAGAAGTTCAGTGAGGATCTATGAATGATCCAATGTTGTCCCAAATGACTGATGATGATAAATAGAATCCACCTGTGTGTAATCAAGTCTCTGTATAAATGCACCTGCTCTGTGATAGTATCAGGGTTCTGTTCAAAGCGCAGAGAGCATCATGAAGACCAAGGAACACACCAGGCAGGTCCGAGATACTCTTGTGGAGAAGTTTAAAGCCGGATTTGGATACAAAAAGATTTCCCAAGCTTTAAACATCCCAAGGAGCACTGTGCAAGGAATCATATTGAAATGGAAGGAGTATCAGACCACTGCAAATCTACCAAGACCCGGCCGTCCCTCTAAACTTTCATCTCGAACAAGAAGACTGATTAGAGATGCAACCAAGAGGCCCATGATGACTCTGGATGAACTGCAGAGATCTACAGCTGAGGTGGGAGAGTCTGTCCATAGGACAACAATCAGTCGTACACTGCACAAATCTGGCCTTTATGGAAGAGTGGCAAGAAGAGAGCCATTTCTCAAAGATATCCATAAAAAGTGTTGTTTAAAGTTTGACACAAGACACTTGGGAGACACACTAAACATGTGGAAGAAGGTGCTCTGGTCAGATGAAACCAAAATGGAACTGTTTGGCCACAATGCCAAACAATATGTTTGGCATAAAAGCAACACAGCTCGTCACCCTGAACACACCATCCCCACTGTCAAACATGGTGGTGGCAGCATCATGGTTTGGGCCTGCTGTTCGTCAGAAGGGACAGGGAAGATGGTCAGAATTGATGGGAAGATGGATGGGGCCAAATACAGGACCATTCTGGAAGAAAACCTGTTTGAGTCTGCAAGAGACCTGAGACTGGGACGGAGATTTATCTTCCAACAAGACAATGATCCAAAACATAAAGCCAAATATACAATGGAATGGTTCACAAATAAACATATCCAGGTGTTGGAACGGCCAAGTCAAAGTCCAGACCTGAAGACTGCTGTTCACAAAAGCTCTCCATCCAACCTCACTGAGCTCGAGCTGTTTTGCAAGGAAGAATGGGCAAGAATTTCAGTCTCTTGATGTGCAAAACTGATAGAGACATACCCCAAGAGACTTGTAGCTGTAATTGCAGCAAAAGGCGGCGCTACAAAGTATTAACGCAAACGGGCTGAAGAATATTGCACACCCCACTTTTAAGTTTATTTGTTAAAAACGTTCGACACATCCAATAAATTTCATTCCACTTCACGATTGTGTCCCACTTGTTGTTGATTCTTCACAAAAAATTTAAATTTTATATCTTTATGTTTGAAGCCTGAAATGTGGCAGAAGGTTGAAAAGTTCAAGGGGGCCAAATACTTTCGCAAGGCACTGTATGCATATGCATGTATAATATATACAGTATGCATATAATACACTGTATATATATATATATATATATATACAGGTCCTTCTCACAAAATTAGCATATTGTGATAAAGGTCATTATTTTCCATAATGTAATGATAAAATAGAAACTTTCATATATTTCAGATTCATTGCCCACCAACTGAAATATTTCAGGTCTTTAATTGTTTTAATACTGATGATTATGGCATACAGCTCATGAAAACTCAAAATGCCTGTCCCAAAAAATTAGCATATCATGAAAAGGTTCTCTAAACAAGCTATTAACCTAACCATCTGAATCAACAACGTAACTCTAAACACCTGCACGATTCCTGAGGCTTTTAAAAACTCCCAGCCTTGTTCATTACTCAAAACCGCAATCATGGGTAAGACTGCCGACCTGACTGCTGTCCAGAAGGCCATCATTGACACCCTCAAGCAAGAGGGTAAGACACAGAAAGAAATTGCTGAATGAATAGGCTGTTCCCAGAGTGCTGTATCAAGGCACCTCAGTGGGAAGTCTGTGGGAAGGGAAAAGTGTGGCAGAAAACGCTG